GGATGCCTCCAGTAAAGCACATTCACATGGAAATTACTCTTAATCAAAAACATATTATTTATTGAACAGGATGGAATAATTTTGAATTAATTTCAGAAGTTTGAATTCTGAATATGACCCGACTTTTCCTTTAAACCTGGAAGTTACAGGTCTAGCACCCCCACTGACTAAAAGTTACACAGTGTTGCTTTAGGAAAGCATATTATACACAAACATACGCACAATTTTTAAATTCACAATTTCATTTGATCAATTTTATTAAACAATCCCCGCCGTTTTAAATCTGCCTTTTCCAACTTCAGAGTTAAAAATGATCTATTTTAGATGAAAAAGATGTTTAAAGTTGTGTTAATCTATAATGTTTAACATTCTTAAGAAAAAAACAAATCATCCAAATAACCTGAATATGAGGCGGTGTGGCCAACATGACGCACTATTTAATCTCCAACTCTGTTTTATATCATTGAGGATAAAATCTGCACTCATAAACATTTAGGATGACCTTAAATGTAGCCGTGTGTTGATTGGTCGACAGGTGCAGCTTTCTTTGTGTTTTTCTCCAAACCTAATAGAGCTGCAGGCCATTAAATACACGTCCTGTTAGAGGGCAACACTTCAGATGTATCATTTGGCTCTGAGATGCTACTAATCAAGAAAGTATTGGGTAACATTGTAACAAATGAAAAAGAAAGAAGAGTTGAGCTATGTGCTAGTCATCATATTTTCCCAGCAAAAGTCTGGTATCTAGATGAGCCACATAGAAGCTGAATTCTTGCAACATTTGTGCTTTCACAAATTCATGAGAATCCATGTTATACCGTTCCTGTTTCAACCGCTCAGTCAACCAATTTACAGTATTTTATTTCAAGGTGGGGCATATTACTATGAAACAGCCAAATAAAACATGGCAGCTCAGGAGGATGTTTGCTTAGCAGCTGCTATCACACCTGTTCTGTCCGAATCCACAGAGCGTTACAAGCTTGAAATGATGCGGTTTCTCTTGGCCTGTGCTGCTATTTCATTTGTTACCATCATTGGCTGAAACCAAACTTTGGTAAGGGGGGCATCGGGTCACAGTTCTCTCATTCAGCCTGGAAGGTTCTGCTGAACATCCCTCCCTCCCACACACAGGATTGGAACAGACCCAGATATATAACGTATAGAACTGTCGGCGTTGTTAGCCCTTTAAATTAAATCAAAGCTTCCCTCGTCACGATCGCAGCCCCAGAAGCTGATCTGATTACTCGCTTCATTCACCTGCCGTTCCCTCGCCACTCTCTAATTATCATTGATCTTATTCACCTGCTCCTTCTGCTATATATACGGTTCAGCCCAGCTATCGGGGCCAGATCATTATTCTTAATTTTTCTTGTTGGTTAATCATGTTTGTTTTTTTATTTAGTGAAGTCCCTGGTTCATTTCCTGACTCTTGGAGGCCAGTGGATAAAGAGGGTTTGGCGTTTGTCTCCTGATCGTGTCCCGGCCCTTCTCCGCAGGGCCCTCAGGGTTTTAGCTTGGAACACGGGAAGGTCAGTTAGTGAAATTTGAATATGAATTCCCTATGACTTTAATAATCTAATTATCACATATAATTAGATTAACGGCAGCTTAATAAATGGGATAGTGGCGGCCTGTGGGTTAGGGCATAGAGCTTGGAATGCTGAGGTTGTGAGTTTGAAACCAACTTCCATAGACTGCCACTCTGGCTCTCTGAGTCTTAACCCCCTGATTGCTCCCCCAGGCACCGCATAATGGCAGCCCACTGCTCCCCAATGGGATAAGTTAAAAGCAGACGTAAATTTCTCCAATATCAGATCAATAAAGTTACATTTATTTATATTATTATTCATTTATTGTTTCAGCTCTTCTATAACCAGTCGATTTTTACTAGTGCTGCACCGATACTGATACCAGTATCGGGCGGCGCCCCGATCCAGCACTAAAATGGTGGTATTGGTATCAATGAGTACCAACAAATAGGGCACTGATACCATAAAAAGTTCTACTGGATTCACTTTGTTTTAGTCTGTTTCCTGCTTCACAAAGGTAGGCA